GAGCGGCGCAAGGCGTGCGGCCCCCTCGCTGGGCCTGAACACGAGCAAGCTCCTCACCTGGGCCTCGGCCTCGCCGTCGTCGCCGGCGCCTTCGGCGCCCTGTAGCAGCGCCTCGGCGACCTCCTGGTAGATCGAAGATTCCTTGAAGCCGTGCACCTGCAGCCAGATTCCCTGCGGTTGGTCGCGGGGGCGAAAGAGCTGGCCCGGCGAGCACTCCTCGTACCGCTGCTCGTCCTCGGGGTGAAAATCCAAGGATACGATGGCGGCCCGTTGCTCTTGCACGGGCCCCACGTTCTTCTTCAGCTCTTTCTGCACTGCCGTGAATCGCACCTCCATGCCGACGTGGGCCGGTAAGACGCCGTAGATGTCCCCCATTTTGTGCATGTTCGGGACGTTCAGGAGGCGCCAATCCGCGTCGGGATCGCCCTGAAACGTGTTGCATTCGCCCACGGCCTGCAAGAAAACGAGGGACACGCCCAAACGCCGCGCGTCGCGACGAGCGCGCGCGCGTTGATCCACCTCGCCCGCGTCTCCCAGTGGATGCCCATGCCGTAGCCGAGCAAAAAGTTATTGCGCTGGTGCCGAGGGTCCAGGACGCCTTGGTTGTCCGAGGTCAACATCGTTTCCCATGCAGACCAGACCTCTGGCGGGAAGGGCTTGCCCTCGCGCGTGCAGCCCAAGAACTCGATCAGAGGGTCCCCGGGCTCGAAGCGCTTCGTGCCCTTCAGCTCGAAGACGCAGGGGATCCGAGAGAAGACCTCGATGGCGTGCTGAATATCCACCGTCGGCGGCTCCGCGTACGTGGAGGACCCGTCGTCGAGGAGCTCGTTCACGTCCGTCAGGAGGCCGATGTTGCCCGTGGGCTTCAGCTGCAGGAAATCGCCGAGGTGCAACACGATGGGGGCGCGTCCGAAGTGGTGGCGCGGCCGCTTGCACGTGGACTCCTGCACGTCGTGCGTGTCACTGCGTCCGCGGCATGCGCGAAGGTCCAGCGCGATGTACAGCGCGGCCGCCACCCGCCTGATACTTCCTCCATATCCAGGCCGCAAGGGCCCAACAGTGACCACAGTTACAGGATTCCGATGCCCCGCTCGGACTAAAAAAAATGAGCGGCGGGCCCCATAGCGAGAGCGCTTCCGCCTGAGATCTCCTAGCGATTCACTCACAGACGAGGCTCCCGCCGAATACTTCCTCCATATGGAGGCCGCAGGGGCCCAAAAGTGGCCACAGTTACAGGATTCCGACGACCCGCTCGGATTTATATATATATATATATACATACATACATACATACATACATACATACATTTGTGTGCGTGTGTGTGTTCCATAATTCTATATATATATATATATATATATATATATATATATATATATAAATGTGTGTGTGGGCGGCGATTCCCATAGGGAGACGGATCCCGCCTGATATTGCCACAATATCCAAGCGGCAAGGGCCCAAGAGTGATTCCGATGACCCGATCGGATTGAAAACAGGAACGGCTGGCCTCACATGGAAAGGGTCCCGCCTGGGATGCCTCCGCAATGCATTCACAGACGAGGCCCTGTTGACGATAGTGTTGTGATGATGGTGTTGTAATGATGATGATGATGATGATGATGATGCTGATGATGATGATGATGATGATGATGATGAGTGAGGGATGATGAGTGATGAGAAGTAGTTGTGAGTGAGCGAGTGGTTTGGAGAATAAGAGTGTGTGCGAGCGCGTAAGTGATGATGATGATGATGTGAATGTGTGGGTGTGTGAGTGAGAAGGGAAGTGGTGTTCCTGTTCCTGCGCGTGGTGTCCCGAGAAAACAAGAACCCCATTTCGGATGTTGGGAATGGTGGTGATGATGATGATGACGGTGATGACGTTGATGATGATGATGATGATGATGATGATGATGATGATGATGATGATGATGATGATGGTGTTGTTGATGGTGATGAGGTTGATGATGATGATGATGAGAGTGTGAGTGGGTACATGGGCGGGTAGGTGGGTGAGTGAGTGGGTGGGTGCGTGAGTGAGTGAGGATGATGAGTGCGTGAGTGAGTGTGTGAGTGGCTGAATGAGTGGGTGAGTGAGCGAGTGTGAGTGATGATGTTGCCCCTCTAGAGGAGGAGTATTCAAAAATACTCAAAGATAGTCTGGGGAAGATTGTTTGAGTATTATTTTATCCATTTAGGATATGTTGATTATTTTTCGTTCGCCAAAAATCTGTTGTAGGGGGACATGCCCAACCTACACGTAAGGGCGACAGCTCCATTTTTGAAATTTGCCCGCTCACCATCCTTGAAACTGCTGCCAAGTTCAAGCCTCAGGATCATGAATGACGAGGAAGTCTCGGGCGAAACGCCCGACCTGCACTGCCGACACGTCTGGGGGGCGCGACAGGGAGAAGTTGCCCATGAGGAAAAGGAATGGAGGACGAGGTGGAGGGAGAGGAGGGGGGAGAAGGAGGGAGAGGGGGAGGAGAAGGAGAAGGAAGAGGAAGGGGAGAAGGAGGAGGAGGAGGAGGAGGAAAAGGAGGAGGAGGACGAGCAGGACGAGGAGGACAAGGAGGACGAGGAGGGGGGGCGAGGCGGGGGGGGGAGAAGGAGGACGCGGATTACCGAGCCCGCTACAAGCATACAGGGCACCTAAACCATCTTGAAGGATGAAGCGGTCATCGGCGAAGTACTGGAGATTGTTGGGCAGCTTGCGAGAAATCCGCGCTGCCATAAGCCAGCAGTGCAACCACAACCGACCACATGCTCCTAGTAAACGGGGCGGCCGAATCTCACGGCCACTGGCCGTGGTGAAGCTAGTCCATGGGGGTGGTGCCATTGGCAGTGGTGGAGCGAGTCCACGTGAAGGATGTTTGCCCAGACGCCCCACGATTGGATTTCGACCATGCCTTACAGTCCCCCGGGGGTGACAACACTCACCAGGAGGTTTTCGATGGAGGTGGGAGTTCCTGGACCTTTGGCTCTGGACTTCTTCGCCTCTCGGGGCATCCGCCGCTCCCACTGGGTCGCTCGAATCGCACACAGCGCAAGACACGATTTTCCTTCCGCCATGAGGCGGACGAGGAGGAGGGAACAGGGGGGAAGAGGCGGAAGAGGGAGAGGAGGAGGAGGAGGAGGAGGAGGAGGAGGAGGAGGAGGAGGAGGAGGAGGAGGAGGAGGAGGAGGGAGGAGGGAGGAGGGAGGAGGAGGAGGAGGAGGAGGAGGAGGAGGATGAGGAGGAGAGGAGGAGGAGGAGGAGGAGGAGGAGGAGGAGGAGGAGGAGGAGGAGGAGGAGGAGAGGAGGAGGAGGAGGAGGAGGAGGAGGAGGAGGAGTCGGAGGGAGGAGGAGGAGGAGGAGGAGGAGGAGTCGACGCCGGAGCCTGGAGGCCTCGAATCGGCGGCGAAACCGGTGGGGAAATGAGAAGGAGAAGGCCTTCTCAGAAGGCTCGGAAGTCCCGTGGCCTTCTGAGAAGTTTTCTAAGCCTTCCCCGAAGACACAGAAAACTTACCAGAAGGCGCGAGGGCTTCTGAGATGCCCCGCCGCCTTCTGAGAAGCCCTTCTCCTTCTCACTTCCCCCCCCTCGCTCACCGCCGATCGAAGCTGGCGATGAAGGAGAGTAGGGAAGAGCCCCATGTTGGAAAGGTGCCGCCCTCCACCATTGTAATTACTAGAAGGGAAAAGCTCCCGGATCAGGAACGGTGTGAAAGTCTCAGGCGAAATGCCCAGCCACCATCTGCCGACATGCTTGGTGGTGCGACGGGGAGGGGGAGACGAGGGACAGAGAAGCAGGAGGAGCGGAAGCAGGAGGAAGGGGTGGAGGCGCGAGGAGCGGGGGAGGAAGGGGGAGGAGGGGGGCAGGCATGGTCGTATTGACGCTGGGGTTCCGCGACGCCTGCTTCGTCTTCGCCAACACGCACGAGGAAGGTTCGGGCATCGTTGGGCTCGTTGGCATGTTGGCGGTTCTCCAGAAGGACGTCATCGAGCTGTCGAAGATGAACGAGGATCTGGGATTCCGACCGAAACGCCCGCCGACCCGATCCGGCTCTCCTCCCCCCATGCCCGTTCTAGTCCGTAGTCTCCTCCATCTTCCTTCCCTCCTGCTTTTTCTCCTCCCTCCTTCTCGTTCCTCCCTCCCCCTTTTCTTCTCTCCCTCCGTTCTCCTCGCCCCTTTTTCTTTTGCCCCCCATTTTCCTTCTCCCTTCCTCCTCCCTCCCCCCCTCATCCACCTCCTCCTCCTCCTCCTCCTCCTCCTCCTCCTCCTCCCCCTCCTCCTCCTCCTCCTCCTCATCCTCATCATCCTCCTTCCTTTTCCTTATCCCCCTCCATCCCTGGTAGAGGGCAAGGGAGAGGTGGGAAATGTGAACGGAGGAGGGAGCAACAAGAATCTCAAAGAGGAGAAAAACCGGATCGTCGGGAAGGCGATCTGGCACTATGTGCACAACACACCGTTTCACCTCTGGGGAGAAGGCCCGCTGTGCGGCTACTGAGGTCCTCCACCGTTCTCTGCACACGCGTGGACACCGGCCGCGGGGGAGGGCGTCAAGAGGAAGAAGGGAAGGTTGGGGGAGGGCGTGAAGTCTTGTGGATGGCAGAGCTGCCCTTTCGCTCACAGCTAGGCTGACTCTGAGCAGACTCGTCGAGGCCTTTGCGGTTTCCTACGTGCGTTTTTTGCTCCGCAGCCTGCAGCCGTTCAAGGCCTCCTCGCCCCAGGGCGCTGCGTCTCGGGGTCCCATCCCTTGGAGTGCCGATGCGAGGCGGGAGGCTTTGCGTGTGCTTGGAAGAATACCTGCCACCTGGACTTGCCCCCCGTCCCAGTTGCCTTCAACGCTGGCTCGCTGCAGCCGTCTGCAGCCGACGCGTCTCACCTCTCGCCCGCCGCAGGGCGAAGAGGAGGGCTGCTGCCCAGCCTGGGAGGCCTTCGCCGCGACCGCCAGCCCAAGCCTAACCTGAGGGGACCGGGGCGGGCGAGGAGGGGCGAGGGGGGGGGCTCGAGAGGCGAGGGGG